GGGGAGGAGGAAGAGGAGGAGGAGGAGGGGGGAGGGGGAGGGGGAGGAGGAGGAGGACAGTGGAGTCTTTGGTCTCCCCGAGCTGGGCTGTTTCGTTGCAGACGTTCCATTACCCAACTAGGGGACATAATCAGGGCGAGAAGGAAAGGGGATTTATCCTCGGTTTCTATATCAGCGTCAACGTGGGTGGGGGGGGGTGTTAAAGAGACCCTCAGAAAGCTAAAGGACCAAAGCATCTCCTTGCCAGCAATCAACACCTGGAGCAAGGGAAATGGACACCCGGATTAACATCAGACGAGCAATCGAGCATTAAACTGCCAACTCAGACAAACAAACAGTAACCACAGTCTAACCCTTCTGACAGGGCAAAGCACTGGGGAGGCCATACCCCCCTCCTCCCTCCTGGCGCTTCCTTGCTGGGTCCTGGAATGTCTGCAAGTGAAGCTCAGAGGGCACCAGGGACCCCAAGGAAGAAGCGGCTGGGTGGGGCATACAGACGTACTTCGGACTGCCTTCGCCTTCAGCCCTGCGGGCATCTTTGCCGGCCCCCAAACGGGATCCGAAGGCATCGGGCGCAGTTCCTGCCTGGGAATCCAATTTGTGGGTCTGCCCAGGTGCCCCCAGAGCCTCTCGGACACATTAGGCACCCGGCCCTCGGGGGGGGGAAAGCAGGCGAACGGCTGCCTGCCTGCCTGCGCCTGGTGGGAGAATCTAGGAGCCTTAAATAGGCCAGGATGATGGGTGCCTCCGAGGGCTGGGGGGGGAGAGCCGGGGGGATGTGATAAGAGGGGCCGGTGATGGATGGAAAGCAGGCGGGGATAATAGATGGCAGCTTGGCCCCTTTAAGCCTGGAGGACTTCAACTCCCAGAATTCCCCAGCCAGCTTTGCTCCTCCAGGCTTAAAGTGGCCAAGGTTGGAGACCCCTGCACTAGAGTACAGCTGATGGGTGACCGTCCCCTGCTGCAGGAGGCAGCTCCGAAAGGAGAAGTCCCGTCTTCATGAGGCAGCCCATCCCACCGGCTCCCAGCTCCAACTGGGCGTTGAGGCCTACAGGTCTTAAGGTTCCCGAGGTTGGACGGCCACCGTTTCAAATAGCACTTCTTGCATCTTTTCCCGCTTGGTTGCAAACTGTGTTTGTGTGCAAAAGGATGAGGATGTGCAAAGTATCTCAATCCGCAATAGGTGGCAAATAAATTTGAATAAATGAATTTATCTAATAAATAAATGAATATTAAATACAAACACATACACACATTTGTTTAACTATTATTATGAATTATTTAGTAATAATAAAGTATTAATGTTTGTAAAATAATAATAACAAAATCAAAATCAAAATAATAATAAATAATAAAAACAACTGGAACACCACTTGAACACCATCGATGGCGCTGACAAATTTGCCCTCGTCAATTGCGGAAGGCAGCTTTGCTCGGAACTGCTTCCATCCCGCAGCGATCTCTGTAGGATCATCAAACATCCAGATTTGCCCATCCCAGGTCCTTGGTAAGGACTTGATAGGTAGACAAAAATGTCAAACCCAGCCTGAACACCTGGCTGACTATGCAATGATCAATAACAACAATTACAACAACCCATTAATTACATTTATTTAACCAACCAATCAAAAGAAATAAAAAAGTGTGTGTTTGTTCTGAGTTGAAGGCATAGACTGAGAAATCTCCCGGGGAAGATCAGCTCGGTCCACTCTCGGCCCCTCGGTGTCCCCCCGCCGCCTCCTTCGTGGACCGGTGGCACCCATCCCGATGGGCCAGGGATGCCAGGCACCGCCTCCTGATGCCGCCCCCTCACACCACACACCACCCCCCCGTGACTTCTTCCTTTGCACAGACGCTGCTCGACCTGGGTGCCTCTACGGACTACAAGGACAGCCGGGGCCTGACCCCCCTGTACCACAGTGTCATGGTGGGCGGGGACCCCTACTGCTGCGAGCTCCTCCTGCACGACTACGCCAAGGTGGGCTGCATCGACGAGAACGGCTGGCAAGAGATCCACCAGGTGAGCCTTTCCAGGGTGGGGTGTGCAGGGGCTCAGCCGGGGGGAGGAGCGGGCCCGGATAGATAAGCCCCCCCCCTGCAGCCCTCTTGCAGTAGAAGGGCAGAGGTGCCTCTCTGGCTGGCCCCAGAGGGCCACGGGGGAGGGCGGGCACCATGGGGTTTGGCATCCAGAGTGGGAGCTGTGGCATGAGGGGGCTGGGCCTTGAAGTGGGCTGTGAATGCGAGTCCTGCCTCCCTGTCTCCTGGGCAGGCCTGCCGCTATGGACATGTGCAGCACCTGGAGCACCTCCTGTTCTACGGGGCAGACATGACCGCCCAGAACGCCTCGGGAAACACTGCCCTGCATGTCTGCGCCCTCTACAACCAGGTGAGCCTTACACACACACACACACACACACACACACACACACACACACCAGCCCCTCAGCCTCGGCTTCGCTCCCCAGGGGCACTCGAGCACCTCTGGATGTCAAAGGGGCTGAGCAGAGGAGGCCCAGTGGGGTGGAGGCTCAGGAGTCCCACCTAGCCCTGGGTGAGGGGCTCCTCTTCCTCCCCCCACCCCAAAAGAAGGGCCTAGCTAACCGGAGTCTGGCAGGAATTCAGTTCCTTCTCCCTCTTTTTCTTCCCGAAAGGGAATGCCAACTTCCATTCACTTCCCACTAGTGCTCCAAGGAAGGTGGACTTTGTGAAGGGGGGAGTGAAGGATCCAGTGGGGAGGGGGGGGCCAAATTCCC